TTGAACTGCCAACCTTCTGGTTAGCAGTCCAATATCTTAGGCACTATGCCACCAGAGCTCCTTAAAGAACCACTAAGGTGTTTATTCTTATGGCTGTCTTTTCCTGCTTTTTGCAGCCATACTATCCAGCAGAGAACCCAATGATCATATAGTAACCTAGTAGAGAACAGAATGGCTAGCATAATGCAAAAGAGCTCTGTCTCACTCTCCCTATTCCTTAAGATCTCCCTGCCTTCCCCACTTTCATCTGCTATCCACACTTAATCTCCACTCATCAGTTATCCCTTGGTATCATCCACTCTTCAAAAAGCCACAGCTGCCTAGTAGACAAAGGAGACAAGTGATAGGGTCTTCATACAATGTACTCACCCACTCAAATAGTCTCAGCCTCTCCAGGTTCTTTCAAGTTCACACCTTCTTTGGCAAGTGTACCCAATCAATAGACTGTGACCACCTACCAGGAGATCTTCAGGCAATCTTGTTTAAACCTCCTATTCCAGGTCTTCAAGTTCCTTCCTAACTCCCATTTTGAACTTTTACCTTCAGCAGTTTCTATTGCCACCCTCTCTCCACTCCCACTCTTACAAGTAATCCTAAGACCCCAGGAAAATTAAGTACCAGCTTTTTCTCCTCCAATTTTTAGAACCATTATTATACTTCTACCATGGAGAAGTGCTACCTGGAAGGGATGTGTGTGACCCTACCATCTTGGGAAATAATAGCTAGTCTTGATCAGGGGAAGGCAAACAGCCTTGTTCATTGCTCGTTAAATCACTCGTATGCGCAGTCTATGGATGTTTTAGGAGCTCTGGTATCATGGTAGTTAAAGCATTCACCTGCTAACCCATAGGCCAGTGGTTCGAACCCACCAGTTGCACCATGAGAGAAAGATGAGGCGACCTGCTTCCATAAAGATTTACAGGCTTGGAAACCCTATTGAGCAGTTCTACTCTGTCCTAAAGGGTGGCTATGAGCCAGAATGGACATGATGGGAGTGAGTTTGGTTTTGGTTTTACGTTTATTGCTGCTTTTGCACCACATTGGTAGAGTTGAATAGTTGTGACAGAGCCCATATGGCCCACAAGATTGAAACTATTTACTATCTAGCCCTTTACAGAAAAAGTTTGCTGAACTCTAATTTTGATAATCAGCAGAAGGGAGTCATTAATGATGCTCTTGGGGCAACTCCAAACTAAATGCAAGAAATTTTACGTAAGAATAAATGATAACTTGCCCCAAAAAATAACCCAAAACAGGGAATCAGTTTGTACCTCAGTCCCGATGAACGTAGGACGAATATATAGGCTAGCAGATGTTGAATATGGGACCCACTCCTGATCCAGTTTCACAAGTTGCTGGATACACTCTAAAAGCTCTTCTTTGTCAAATACCTGAAAAAATGGAAAACATAATGAATGATGAAATTTTTCTCCCATGAGCATTAAGAAATGATTCTTCTGGAAGCTTTAAGTGTTTTTTATTTGTTTGTTTGTTTTTGTTTTATTAAAAAAGTAATATTAGTGAAAACCAAATAGAATTTTTTTTCTATGATCAGTTTTATGAAAAAATGTACTAGGACATAGCAATGCAAATAGACACATGTACACCAATGTTCATTGCAGCTCTATTCACAATAACCAAAAGGTAAGAATAGCCTTTTCATAAACAGATGAACAGATAAGCAAACTGTGATACACACATACAATGAAATATTATTTAGCCATAAAAAACAATGCAGTACTGATACATGCTACAACACAGATGAACCTTGAAAACATGATGCTGAGTGAAGTTGATCATTCACAAAAGGACGAACATTATATAATCTCACTTACATGAAATACCTAGAATAGGCAATGTACACAGATCAAAGCTTTATAGTGGTTACTAGGGGTGGGAGGGATAGGGAAAGTGTGAGTCATTGTTTAGGAAAAACTGAATTTCTGTTTATTATGATGGGAAATTTGGCAACAGATATTGATGATAGTTGCAAAACATGACTGATGTACATCTGTCTCTCAGAAACCACTGGGGATTGGATTCAGGACCCGCTCTCACACCAAAATCCATAGAGGCTCAAGTTTCTTATATAAATGGCATAGTGTTTGCATATAACCTAAGGACATCCTCCTCTATACTTTAAATCATCTCTAAATTACTTATAATACCTAATATAATATAAATGTTATATAAAAAGCACCTTAGCCTCCCTCTTAGCTTTTGAGGGATAAGTTTGACCACTTAATTGATTCCCCTCCCCCCAAATATTTTCAATCAGCAGTTGGTTAAACCCACAGACATAAAACCCAGGGATACAGAGGACCAATTGTAATTGGTGTCACTGAATTATACCCTTGAAATGTGTTGAGCTGGCAAATGTTATGTTCCATAAATATTTACAACAACAACAAGAAAATATTTGCAAGGACAATGTATTACCCATATGGAAAAGATAAGAAATTAGATTCCTACTTCTTACCATAAATATCAATTGCATTTGAAATAAATATGTAACTGAACATTAAGATCTTTATAAGAAAATGCAAAATATTTTGTGTCCTTAAGGTAGGAAAAGATTTCTTAAGAGATGAAAAGCACAATTAAACAATTAATAAAGAGAAACACTGATAAAATGTGATTATTTCAAACTTCTATTTAAAGACTGTTCTTCAAAAGATGTAAGAAGCAGAATTCCAGTAAGATGGCGGAATAGGCAGACAAACTACACAGACCCTCCTTAACAAAGAAAAGAGAAACCAATTGACAGATATAGAAGATAATCCTGGAGCCCTGAGCTTTGAAAGGAAGGATACAGAAGTGGACTAAACTCTCACTGGTAGAAAAACCTACATGAAAATACTGAACAAGGAGACAAACAGAGCTGCAGACTGTCAGCAATCCTAATGGCATGGGCAGTTTGGATATTTCCAAGTGGTATTAGGACCTAAGAATTAACCTAAAAACCAGCCCTGCTCACCAAGGGCTGTGACGAGGACAACTCTTGTGGCTGGTGACTAAAAAGGGAAACAGTAAAGAAGGCAACAAACTGAGCTGTGGACTTTTGGCTGTCTGGAGGGAACAGTCATTTTGATGTTTATAAGTGGTTTTACCATTTTGGATATTTAAAGCAACAGTGTTCTCTCAGATTCCAGGGGCCTAAGAATAGGCTCCATTTGCCACAGACAGCAAGGAAATATCAGAGGCTGAAGACTGGAAAGGTAAGATATCCCCCTTGTTACTCGTATACCCCACACCATCTTGGTGAACAGAGGTGTGGCCACCCCATCTCCCGACAACTTCTGGGCTGGCAGGAATTCCATCTGAGTCTGTGCGCTCTGATGGAGCCTGGGGCCCAGTTCTGAACTCCCCAAATTTGTTTTTTGTTTCTTGTTTCTTTTTGTTTTAAAAATCTTCTTCTTGAGGCGGGGCAAGATGGCGGACTAGGCAGAAGGATTGCACAGACCCTCTTCAACAAAGAAAAGGGAAACCAATTAACACAGACACAG